TTCACTTCAGCAAAACAGTAGATCTAAATTGTATCACACAGTACTGTTTCTGCTTCCAAGTCTGCTGAAAAGGCTATTGTTTTTGCAAGCTTGTTTTGTGTATCTCTTGTTAAATAATGCTGAACGGAATCTGTGATCCTATTGGTTTTCTAGTCTTCTTTTTTTTTTTTTTTTACTTTTTATAAGTTGCTCTGCCTCCCAAATACTGTTGGCCAGTAGTATTTTCCTTTATTGCCATAAAGGTTGGAAAGAGCTATGTAGTCACCGGTACCTGTGAGAGGATTGTAAACATTCAGCTCAATCAGTGCAGCTCAGAACTTGGCACAGTTAGGCGTGGGAGCTGGGAGTTCTGGACTCTCCCTGCAGGCTGGAGATTGTGTAAGCTCACCTTAAGCTCTGCTGAGCAGTGGAGATTCCCTTTTTAGGGCGATACGTGTCAGGTGTCCCCCCCAGTGCTGAACACAGGAACACTGTCGGCTGCATGCAATTATCCTCAGCTGCTATAAGTACAGATGTTTTGCATCATAGATTTAAGGTCCACAGACTGTGTGTAATTTTAGTGAAGGTATTCATTAAATATCTCCGATGATGTTTTTGTACCTTTATTGGACTTTTGTTGTTGTTGATCCTCACCTGAGGATTTTTTCCATTGATTTTTAGAGAGAGTGGAAGGGGAGGAGGGGGAGGGAGAAAGAGAGAGAGGGAGAGAATGAGCATTGATGTGAGAGAGACACATTGATTGGTTGCCTTGAATGCACCCCAGCCCAGGGCAGGATGGAACCTGCAACTCAAGTATGCACCCTTGACCGGTTATCGAACCCACAACCCTCCAGTGTGTGGGCTGATGCTCTCACCACTGAGAACACATGCCTGCACAAAGAAAAATTTTTGTTAGAACATCTGTATCCCCCCTCTGCTGGACTTCCACAACAGTTTGTTCACAGCATGTTGTAACTTAGCTGTTTGGGCATGGATGGCATATTTCAATCATCCTGTTTCCTCGGGGTCTAGAACAACTAAGAGATCATTAAATACTAGATGAATCATATTTATTTGTTCATTGTTCCACAGATAAGTACTAATTACCTACTTCGTGTTAGGTATGCTATGAGATTCTTGGAAAAGAATGTTAAGGCAGGCATGGCCCCTTCACTCATGGAGCTTACAGACCACCACCACTACCAATAAGAAACAACAACCAGAAAAAGTTTAGAATGTGACCAGTGCTGTGAAAGGACTGTTGAACCGGAGCCAGGTTATAACAGAAGAGGGGACTTCGGTGATTACTAGTGGAAAGGTTACAATAGCTATAGGTAGGACTGTGATGAGAATTATTGGGAACTGAATTCCAGGGGTTATTTTATTTATTTATTTATTTGTTTATTTTTTTCAGGCATTACTTTAAACCTTCACTTTTACTGTTATGATTTATGAAAACACATCCTCAGTTAACAAGTAGACTGTGCCACAAAATTACAGGTTTCTTTATAAGCTTGTTGATGGCTTTCCGTAACAGAATAGAAACTCCTTGCTGTGGACTGTGAACCTCTGCATTGTCTGGCTTTTCAAACTTCAATTTATTCCACTCTTCTTTTGGGGTGGTTGAGATATTAACATATAGCATTATATTAATAACATGCTGTATTAAAATGTAGCATAAGTATATAACATATTAACATGTTAGTTTCAGGTGTACAACATACTGATTTTATATGTGTTTATATTGAAAAATGATCACCACAGTAACACTCTTCCATCTGGTTTACTACTGCCCAGCCATGCTGATCTCAAAGGCACCTGAACAAGACTAGCTTTTTCTTCCCTCCAGGCCTGTTCCCTTTTGTGGATGGTTTCTGCTGCTCTTGGAATGCCTGGCTCCTTTTCTTCCTCTGAATTTGGTATAAATTCTGCCTCTTCACAGACTTAGATCACCTTATCTAAAATATGCACCCTCACCTATTTTCTGCCTCCACTCTTTGTCTTCATTATAGCACCCATCACAGTATGTGATGTTATTTGCTTGTTTACCTGCCTTTAGTCATTTTCCCATTGGACGTGGGAGCTGGGACCATGTCTGTCTTGTTTACTGCACTCAGATACTGGCTGAATGGATTTGACTGGTTGCTAGGTTTCCAGGCTAGGCAGCAATAATTTTAATCTACTATTTTTTTAGTTCCTTCTGGTGTGGCAAGAAAATGATATTTCCTTCTCATCCTGGCCGGGCTTAGATAAAAATCCTAAGTGGCTAAAATTATTTTTGTAATATTCGAACCTCTTTTCCATATCTCCATCCCACATCCTGTTTCGCTTTCTCTCCATATAGTCTGATCTCCCTGTTGCAGTCACCTGCCCTGTCCTGCTCTCTTGAAATATGCATGCTTTTCATTTGCTAAAATTCAGAAGCTCCTGTTTTTCTCAGGTGATTTTCATGTCAGTAGCCTCTGGACTTCAGGTGTGATAGGAGGAAGGAAGACTGGAGATGGGCCTGTAGCAGTGACCGCAACCTCTGTGGCTATCTGTATGTGTTAGAAGCAATGTCAGGATACTTGTATCTGAATGTGTATTTGCAATCTTGTTGCTGACAGCTTCACAGAGACAGTCTTGCCAGATTAAAATGTTCAAAAACTTTTTGGCC